CTGTAATAGACACCAAGGTGCCTCTCCCAGGAGCGTCAGTCGAGCTTAAAAGAGTTGATTACCCTTATAAAATCGAAGCGCAGGGTGCCCATGGCCCCACTCTTGCTGTTCCTGGGCAAAATGGTTTCATGTATTTCCATAGTGCCCTGGGTATGCCTGCACGCCAGGTCTCTCCAAGGGAAGGCAGGAGTAGTTCCCAGTCCCAAGTTTGGATCCTGCTGGAGGTTATTAAGTCCTTCTGTTGGTGGTCTTCTCAAGCCCTTTCTTCAGGAATCCTATTTAAGGAACCTAACCGGCTAGTTCTGACCACCAACGTCAGCCTATTTGGCTGGGTAGCTCATCTCCAATCCAGGATGGTCCAGGGATAATGGTCTCTTTGAGAAGAGCTCAAACTGCTCTTTTAGTCCTATTATTTACTTTCTGTTTTTTAAACACTTAGTAATCCATAAAAGGAAGGATCTCTTATTCCATAACTGTCAAGTACTGTATACTTCAAGAGGAATTGAGTCAGTATTATTTTTTTAAATCCAAATATACAATGTCAGTAGGAGATTACTTTCACCTTTCCTCCTGTTGACCCTTAACAAATGTTTATAGAAAGTTGGTGAGAATCCATTCTGATTTTATTTTTATTTTTGGAGAGGCCTGTTCTGTGTACCTCATTATTTTTTCTTTGATTACCATTTCTGCTTGGAACAGATGTTAAGCTGAATAACCTATAATTTCTTGGATCTCCCCTGTGTACCTTGTTAGGGGAAAAGGGGATGCCTTATAAAACATTTTAATGTATCTATTAATCATCAACATTACTCTGAAGTATATTTTGCATCAGTCTTTTACAGGTTTTTTTCCCTTAAGACAGCCACAACTTTTTCAGCCAGTGCTAATGCTGACGAGAGAATACTTCACAATTTTCCCCGTGACTGCCTGAAGGCAAGGAAGCATTAATTAGCTAATAAAATAAAAGTACTTTTTTTAAAATTCAAAACGTAAACTTAGCACAAGTGCTTATCTTAGTTTTGACCTGTAAGCATAAAAATGTGTAACAGATTGTTTCGTAAAACAAATTTGGAATGTGATGTTAAGGTTCTAATTTGAGAAATGAGTCAGTGTTGAATTGATTCTATCTAAGGAATTTAGAAATATTTGAAAGATAAAATTAATTATGGATTTTTCCCTTTGCCTTTTATGCTTTCGAGTCATTGTCACAGCCTTCTAAGCGGTGGACAATTTAAATTTACTTCTGCAAGACATGTTACCAAGCATGTTATTAAATAACTCCCATTTGTTCCAACTTTCTTATAGGAATTATAGGAATTGTAATTGACTTTTGAGATGTTGAGGTTGCAAAAGATAATTCTACAGAAACAAAACTACTGTATATAAATGTTTATAATTTTAAAATGTTTTATAATAAAATATTGCACAACTACTCTCTGAAGAAGGATAAATGGGACAGGGCCTAGTGCTAACATGATTTCTATGGGCTGTTAAAAAATGTATGTGCCCACTGTATGTTATATAGGTAAGATTGCAAATTTTGTGAATTTAAATAATGCAACTCTCAGTTTAAAAATGAAGAGGGAGGAAAAAATTGATATAATTGAATGACGTGAACATGATCATAGCAATGCTAAAATAAGAGGAGTTGTTGAAATGCCTGAATGGAAAGTAGAGTTTTTATGTTTTGCTTTTAATATTACTTTGTGGCTTTATTAATCATACATTTAAATTAAAATATTATTTTTATTCTTTGGTGTACTATTTCATTAGCATACATACAAAATTATTATTTTTTCATTGTCTGTTTCTTTCAAGCTGACAATCAGTACTTTGAATTACATCTGAAACCCTATTGGAAATCAATAAAGCTTGCTTATCAAAAATGTAATATTGGTGATTGAGAAATACCCATAATTGTCCACACTGGGGGGAATACAAATTAAATATTGATTTGGTCTGGAGAGGTGCAACCATACTAGAACTAAAGGTGGAACCTCAAAAGACCAGGATGGCCCCCAAATCCATAGACAGTCAATCTTGTTAGAATTGAACTGAAGACTCTTCCTCTCCAGCTAGTCCCCCATAGTCTTCAGCCGTCAGGCCAGGACCTCCATGGCCTCACTTGGTCAGCCCAATGTGGAGATGTATAGCTGAGTATAATCTGCATGCTGATTATATCTCATCCTGGGCTGTCAAATTACATTACTCAACAGCTTCATGTAGTTCAGGGGCCCCCAAGCTGTGGGTCATGAGGGCCATGGGAACAGCTGGTTAGCATACACGTGCATCCTCATTTGCGCGAGCAGCGGACAAGTGTGTACGTTCCATTTGCGTGAATGGCAAATGGAACTATGTGCACATGCATACTTGCTGTCCACTTGTAGAAACAAACATCCCCTCCCCTCCCCCGCCAGTCTGCAAAGCCGGAAACATTTGAAGCTCTGATGTAGATGTTGAATAGAGCAGGGAGAGTGCTGAAATTTTGAGAAATGCAATATTAGGAATGGAAATTTCCATTTTTGTATCTGAACTCAAGAAATGTCAGCTTCTTCGGAATATGATCTTGGCTTATGCTGAATTTTGGTTTCAAATGATAGTTCAAAACTCAAAATTTGGGTAACCGTATTGTAGAAAACTTCAAATTCAATAAAGATGTTTCAGAGAATAAATGAGTGTGAATTTAAGATCTGTCCTTAACTTTTTCAAGAATCTGCACTATGTCCTAAGAATGAGCACTTGCTCTCTACTGCTGCCATAAAGTTCCCAAAAACCACACAGATGTTGTAATAAACTGCAGTGCTTTGTTCATATCCCCACGTATTGAGCACCTTTTTGGAATTGAATCTGAATCACGGCATAACCTAATAACATTTACTTTGGAATCATTATTTTGCTGCTACAAAATACTGCATTTAATATTTTAAAGCTCAGTCATATTGAAAGGCTTTTGAAAATTTGCGTTGTACAAGAACATTGGGGGGAATGCAGAAATGTGGGTATGCACACCCATGAGAGATTGTTCTTAATAGCTTCCTGGTTATTTTCAAGTGAAATTGTGCTCCTTCTGCATAACTTAACTGTTATTCAGTCTTGACATCTCAGAAATTATGTAAGCTAGTTACTTCCCATTAGGTGCTATTTTCTACCAATTTTTGATCGGCTGTGAAATACTTATATATGTGAATGTAACATCAAAGGCTGTATGTTGTGCTAGTTTAAGGTGGTAACTGATTTTGTGAGTGCCTAATAGTATTAAAGCAGCCTTTCTCAGTTGGTCTTCCATGAAACTCTAGATTCTTGGGAGAAATCATAAGGGGTTCTGTGAGAGATTGTGATTTTTTTAAAAAAAATGCTAGCAATCTAAGTGGAAATTTTAAACACCATTACTCAGTAGTTGGCCTATTACTTTGTTGTGGTTGTATCATTATAACAGGTGAATTGTGCAGGTTAAAGTGAATTGTATTGTGAATTTTCATGTTTGTTGTAATAATGCAGGGATTTTTGAGGCCTGAAAATTAAGGGAAAGAATTGAAAAATGGTATATTAAAGCATAAATGTGTTGTACTCAGCTCTTCTTAGGAAATATAGAAGATATTTATAAATATATTGTTTATTTGAGTGAGACTTTAGTACATTTTTAATTTATTTCTCTTTTATTCTACATATTACTAGAATACAGTATTAAGTTTTTTTCATTCTTTTTTGCATGTGCTTTTTTGGGGGGAAGAGTATGGAATGCATCTAACAATAATCTTTTCTTTCAATCTGTTATTTTATAATAATTGCTTGTCATGTGCACTATTTCAAATCAACAAATGTTAAATGTTTCTAACTATTATACTAATTACTTTTTAAAATTTAACTTAACTGTCCCTCTCTGGTATGTAGCATAAAACTATAGTATGTCAGATGTTCTTTTAATTGGGTAGAGGGTTTCCATTCTTCTCAAGACCCTTGCCTAGAAATTATCCTTCCTGCAAAGTTTTTGTTTGGAAGGGAAAGGAGAAATTTGTGTAGGCTTATTCATTCTAGCACATTAGTTTCTGGATATATAAATTCATAAGATTCCCAGAAGTAATAGTTCATATAAAGCTGAAGTTCCATTAGTACTATATTGCAATATATACGTTTATCATTCTTTAAACATCTATTTTGGTGAGAAAGTCTCAAATTTTATTTGAGAAAGGATTGTTGAAGAAATATTTTTTCTTCAGATATGTTTTAACATTTGTTTATAATTATGTTCTCATCAAAATTGCTTTCTTGTTATTTCAATTTTGTACATTTTTAGACCCAGCTTTGGATAAACGTCTAGTATTAGAATAATTATGATGTATCTTAGGTTTTCTGCATCTCCTTTGGGGAAAAATAGATACTTTTGCTGAGATGTAAACCTTTATTAAATCGATAAATCGTTCAATAGAATGTTGTCTAATGGGTATGTTGCAATTGTATTTCAGCTATACAGTTGATTACAAAATTCCTGTACAATAATTTGCAAACAATTATTGGATTTATTTGTTTAAGGTATTTCTATATGCCCAGATTAAATGCAGTCCTGGTGGTTTATGTAAAATGCAAAGTCAACATAAAATCAACATAATATACTTCCAGCTATAGGAAGAGATAGTTGCCCACATAATCAGCTGACAGTATTTAATCCTAGAATACTTGCATACATAAAACAGTCTTGAACATCTTGCTAAAAGCTAATAGGGAAATAGCCAGATTAATCTCTTGCTCAAAGTGTTTCATAATATGGGGGCAATAACAGAAAAAGATTGCTTAAGGATTAGGGTCCCCATGCATTTATATAGAAGTGGGATCCTGAACATTGCCTGCAAACGTTTATAGACCAGGAGGGCTGTAGCAAGATATCCTAAAGCCAAACTATGAATCTATGCTATACATATCAAACTACTTATCTAGTTGCCTATTGGCTGTTTGGTTTGTGTTTTGATAATTTTGTGATCAATATCTATTTTTTTCTTTACTAGGTTTAAAATAGCACTATGGCTCATTCAAAGACAAGAGCCAATGATGGAAAAATTACATACCCTCCAGGAGTTAAAGAAATATCTGACAAAATTTCAAAAGAAGAGATGGTACGAAGATTAAAAGTGAGTATGGGTAGTTTATTATATATTGTGATGTTTATTTGGACAGCTCAAAATTGGATGTATGTGAAATTGTTTATTTTCAAACAAAAAGGCTAATAATGTAAATAATAGTAAGTTGTTGGAAGTTTTTCTGATGAGTTAGCAGAACTAATTCGATGAAACAAAATCCCTTACAAGCATCTCTTTTTAGTTGCTTGTTAAACTTGAATTGTGATGATCATTTTCCTGCCTAAAATAAGCCAAGCAGGCTTTTTGTCTCCGACAGCTTTTCATCCTCTCTATCTTAATGTTTATGTTTTGTTCAATATTTCTAAATAAACATGTTTGATCCCTTGAGCTTTTTTAATTAGATAAGAGGAGAAATCTATTTTTCCTCTTATATTTTTTGTGGTAATAGTATAGCAATAAGATGATACTTTGTAGATTGTAGAAGTAAGGTTACTTAAATAAATGCAAAATGCCATAGCTACATAGCTATTTAGTACTATAAATTTACTACTAATGAAAGAGAAGTCTTCTGTTGGAAAAGGAAAGAGATAGATAGTATACTTTCCATCTCTGCTGTTTATTTTTTTTTATTTTTTTGAGGAAGCGGTTATGCAATTTTGACAATTATAAAATATAATTCTAGGTAGGAACCAGGAAAACATTAGAACAATAATTGTAGATATTAGGAAAGTTATATGATTTAATGACATTTTATTTCCTGCGCAATTGAAAATTAAAATAATGGTTCGACACCAGGAAACAAAAACCATTTAAAACCATTTCACTGTTTAGCAGTGAAACAGGCTGTTTTAGAAAGTGTTTAAACAGAGGATGAAGGGCCATCTATCAGGGATTTGTAGTAGTGGATTTCTTTATGTGGCAGTGTGTGGGGGGGCTGTGATTTTTGTACTGTTGTGGAGTTTTTTTGATATAATAAAGTAGGCATTTTTGCTTCAAAAGAAGCTATTTCAAGTTATTTATATCTCCTGAAAACAAATTGTGAATATTTACATGAACATTAAAAGGCAGTCAGTCATTATATTTTAAAATATATAATAATAACCATAATATTCTAAGGAAATTGATTTGTCAGTGACGTTGTTAACTATCAGGGCAATATTGGATCATATGTTGACTATGGACAACAATGGATTTTAACGTAGCAACTATCTGTATTGCTATAAATATTAGCCTAGGACTTGGAAGGACACCTCCAGCCTCAGCCATTCCGAGTTACAGAGCTATTATGGAGGGAAAAAACTGAAGGCAAGAATGCTACTTCTGCAATGCTGTCAGTGCTGTTTATTTCACACTGAGTTTCTGAAGAAATATAAATCCTAAAAGTATCACTTTTCTGAAATTGAATGTGACAGTATTTTGGATTCTTCCTTCATCCACCCCTCACCCTCCCCACCCCCAATTAAAAGAATCTTCATATTTGACAAAGAAGCAAACCAAAACATTAAACGCCTTTATTGAGTTTGTTTGATAGACATGGAAGTTTGTATTTCATCAAATTGGGCTGCTTTTTAAAATTTGGATTGAAACTGAATCTCATTGCTGTCTTTCATGGTTGTAGCAAGTTGACCAAACTAGAGATGTTTAATATGATGTTTGCTGTCAGACTAAAGTGTAACATTAATACTTTTCATACTATGCTAAGAAATATAATAAACATGAGTATTAAAAAGCAAATCATCTTCTGAAAACAAATTCTTATTAATACTTTCTAATGTATTTTAGTTTTGTTTGTAACAATGGTTTCAGACTTTCAGCATGAGTTTATAGCAACTTAAAAATAACAAACATAATTTTTATAATACCAGTGCACTTCACCATTCACTTTTATCTTGATCTTCAGGTCATAAACCATATTTTTATTATAGATACATATATCATTTACTTCTTAATGGGGAAATATAAAATGATATATAATTAAAAAATATTGAAGGCATTTTTAATGTTATACTTGATTAAAGGTAAAAAGCAGATTTTCTGAGTAGGTGTGTGTGCACGCGCACATACAGTATTCTTATTGAAGAAGAATTGATGTCTTTGAACTGTGATGCTGGTGTTATTGCATATACCATTGACAGTCAGAGTAACTAAAATCACAAGACTACGTCCTTTGGTCATGTCATGCATGCAAATTCATTGGAGAAGGCAGTTATGCTAGGAATGGTTAGTGGAACAAGAAGGAGCAATCAAAGGACATTCTAGCTTGATAACATGAAATCTGATACAAAGTGAACATCCCACAATTGAAAGAAGCTGTGCTTGAGAGGGTAGCATGGAGAGTACTTATCTATAAAGTCACTGAGAATCAGACACAACTGGTTAAAATAACAGCAGCAGCAGCAACATGTATATATGTACCATATGTATATATGTACGTATGTATGTATCTATGTGAAATGTCTTGTTTATAATATATTGCTAATTTTTAAAAATTATTTTTGCAGATGGTTGTAAAAACCTTTATGGATATGGACCAAGACTCTGAAGAGGAAAAAGAGTTGTATCTAAATCTTGCTTTACATCTTGCTTCTGATTTTTTTCTTAAGCATCCTGACAAAGATGTGCGCTTGCTTGTTGCGTGTTGTCTTGCTGATATTTTTAGAATATATGCTCCTGAAGCACCATATACTTCACCTGATAAACTCAAGGTAAAGTTGTGTGATTTACTTAATTTCTTGGAATCTGGATGTGTAACAATGCTATTTTATATTTGTTTCTAAACAATTAAAAGCAAATTGCCTGGTAGATTATGGTTTTCAATTGCATATGAAACTCTGTATTATATGTTTTATGATGTGTATAGCAACTAATTTGAATTAAATAATAAACTTCCATTTTCAATTTAGTAGATTTTTGCATAGTATTTAGCATATCTGATATTAAGGGGAATCTTAACTCAGTCCTTATGGCTTCCTTTATTATCTGATTTTATTTATATACCACTTATGGCAAAATAGAGTGCCAGATTCCTAATACTAATTTTCAATAATGGGTGGTCAAATCCTCCCTCATCAGGAAAACTATAAAACTTAAAATGATAATCAGAGTTCTAGTCTTTTGAACTTTTATAAATTTATGTTTAATTAGGAATTAGCAGAAATTCCTTTTCTTTATGTATTCCAAAACCAATAATTCCAAGATGATGTAGAGATGAATTCTATTATATTAATAATGAAAATTCTGTCATTTGCACAGTGTGATCATTATTCCCTTCAACCTTTCTTTGATATTTTTCTCTGATTGTCTTAAAAAACTGGTTCCTGTTTTTTGCTCCATTTTCCTAGTGACTTTAAATACTTTAAAGCTAGGTAACTATTAAGCAAATAGGTCATGTTTAATTAGATAATCTAAAACATTAAAGCATTTTTAAAAATTGAAATACAATGTGATGAGCCGGGGCATGGCACAAAGGTAACACAGTAACGTAAGTCAGAAAAGTCCCTTTAATACCTCCAACTTTGCCCCCAATGTCCAGTTACCTTCGGCTGGAGAAAAACCCTTCCAAGAACAGTCTTTAAATTCAGTCTGAAAACAAGGTACATATAAACTGTAAATAAAAATCCACACAAACCATGCTGCAGCAATTAACTGAACAGGGCAGGATAAGGAATTGCATACTTCAAAGGCCAACAAAACACACACAGTTAGGAAGACCCCAGGAACTCAGATAAGCCTCGACAAAACAAGATAATACACTATTTGTTTCCAATAAGTTGCTGTGTGCAAACTCCGTTTTTAAACATTGTGTTCCCAGCTGCAGCTAATGATGGGAATCAGGGCCCTTTCCTCCCCCATAAGCCACACAACTCACATTGCTCCCTTCTCCGTTCCTCCCTGCATGCCCTAGGATGAAGAGGGGGTGGGCCTGGATGTTCCTCTGAATTCCCTCTGCCTTGCTCTACCTCTCCCCTGCTCTGCCTAGCCAGACTATGCCCTTCCCCAGTTTCTTCCACAGCCAACGGAGCCACATTCCCACTCTCTGTCAGCTGCTCGGCTTCTGCCTCGGAATCAGATTCTGACAGGGGCATGACATACTACCTGTATCAAGTAATATAGAAAGCTTGTATTGCTTAATCAATACTAATTAATAAATTATATTTATTTGCAACACTAGGTATAGTTTGTTTTTTTAAAAATAAATTATACAGTTGTATTTACACAATTTGGAAAACAAGGCAGATGGGTTTAAAAAGATCCTTTAAAAATAATTGATGACGTCTCAATAGGGGGGGTCATAAGTACTTTGAAAAGACTTTTATGTTCTGTTCCCTCTTAATATGAATCAGCTGCTACATAGAACTGATAAAAGTGCTGCCAAATTAATATTTAACATGATAGAAAAGATAAACTGTATATGAAATAAGTATTTCAGTTGTCTTCCAAATAAATTATGCTTAATATTTGTTCTAGCCTTATTGTTCTCTCCTTCAGGTCAATTTTTTTGAAGGGCTATTTTTGCATACTACTGAAAGACTAATCATTACACAATTCTGTTTTCCACCGTTTTTCATAACTGGTGGTCAGGTGGTAGTAAGTAGGCTTGACCAGTCTGATAGGATTCATTATGAGACAGAAGACTGAGGTAATCCAATGATTCTAGTTAGTGAATATAGGGAGTCAACAGACAATTTGATAGCCAAGATTATTAATATTTTTGATAGAAAATGACATAGTTTATGAGCCACATTGGAGAGCCTTCTACATGTCATGCCTTTAAAAAAACTAGTTCCATACAAATAAAGGTTAGCTTGATAGGGATAGGATAGTTTATTAACTGTATTCCTGAGGAAATTGAGCCCTTTACTTGGATTTAAATTAGGCTCTTAATTTTTTCTGGTGTTTCTGGATATGTCTGTGTCTATGTGACAGACAGACAGAGAGAGAAAAACATTTGATTTTTCAAAAAAGGAGAAAGCAGCCAATGAAAGCTTTAGTTCTGACTTATAGTACAGCCTATTTTGAATTGTTTTCCCTTTCCTTACAGAGTTTCACTGAAAAAGTAGAAAACAACCACAGAAGGAACATTTATTAATAGGAAGAGTGAAAAAGAAGGGAGAAGGAAGTATACTAGAAAGAGTTATTTAGCTGCACTATTAGTTTTATTTTTAAATCATTATTTCTTTTTGCGTCTTAACCAGGAGGGCAAGAAGAACAGATTGAGGAAACAAACTGTAAAGTTAATAACAATAAAAACACAAACGTGACAAAGTGCAGTTAGCATTAATTTAAATTTGCAAATATTTTTATACTGTTTAAAATTTTTGTGGTTGATCTATGAGTAAGTTTAGATATTGATTTCAAATAAGTTGTAATTTGTAGATAAACAATGATTTGCACTACATTAAGACAATCTGATTACTTTTAGGCAATTACTGTTTTCCCACAACAGTTAGGATCTTACCAAGAGTCTAAAGAAACTTCACTGTGCTTGACTGAAACATTTTGTTTCACCTTCAGGCCTTGATGCCCATTAGAAAAGATTTTTGCACATTCATGCACATTTGTAGAATTGGAAGTATGGTTATTGGAATTGCTGGAAACCTCAGAAGCCTTTTTTTTTTAGAGAAACAGAGAATTGATGTGCAAAGGAATTTCAAAAGAATACTTCATATAATATTCATCAAAATAGTGTACAATGGGTAGAATGGTACCATGTTTATAGTATGATGAGTCTTTCATTTCTCATCTATATATTCATTTATTGTTCCATTTTCTTCTTAGTTCTTTCTTGTTTCTTATTCCCTTATTCCTGCTTTCTTCCCTTGAATTACAATACTGACTTGTATGCTTGGGTGAACAGGGGTTTTGAAATAAAGCCGCCTAGTGGTTGTGTTAGGAAAATGTTTTTAAGAAATTTCCTTGTGAATTCAAAGAAATGCGATAATGGGTAATTTTATTATCATTTTGTTTTCTATAGATTTATAAATCTATTTTCTGCATTTTTCCATAAACTAGTCCAATTATTCTTTTGTATATGATACAATAATTTGTCTAACTTGGGTCAATTGAACAGATCAGTGATTTTGAACTTTTTAGCTCTTTTTTGTTGGCATTGTAAATTAGTATTTTATATGTAGGGATTGTTGGAATAAAATTAGGATTAGTATTTATATTAGTAATAATGTTTAAATAATGTTTTATTTTCCACAAAAGAAAACAATGAATTTATACTTTGGTTAACTTTTATTTATTAGTACCATCAAGTAAAACATCTGATTGTTGCTGCTTTCCATGATTTTTTTTTTCATTTTACAAGTACATTATCATATGTCTACATATGTTTTCTCATTTGTATACATTTATTATGTTATAAATTATTACACATTATTATTATAAAACTATTTTTGTTCATTATAAAATATTAGATGCAGATGGTTTATAGTTAAATCAGTGTAGTGTAGAACTCACACACCTGTATTTTCTAAAAATGATTATAATGAGCATAGTATGCTGAGGACTGGTTATATGGTAACCAGTATACTATAGTAATACTACTTTAGTAGCAATAATAATAGTTTTTGATTTTCTGAGAAATATGAATAAAAAATTTAAATATGAATGATAAGAAATGTAACAAAGGTTATATATTTGTAAATTAATTGATACTCATTCAAATATTTATTGAGAATATAATATAGATAAATAAAGCTGAATGTAGCTGTTGGTAACAAATTAATAGAATTTTTCAAAATTAAACCAAATGTATTAATGGATGACTTATAAGGATAGTTGGCTATGAATTTTCTTGGTTGCTGATTACTTTATAAGCTCAAGACATGTTGAAACAAATACAAATTTGTTACATTGAACATAATTTTTGTTTGGAATATTTTTGGGAATTATTTGAAGAATTCCAGATACCTTAAAAATGAAACAGTTTAAGTGACCTGAGATTGATTCATATGGTTTTGATCATATATTCCCCTTCCTCTGTAGTTGAGGGAAGAAATGAAAGCTATGGGAATTGCTCCCAAAGTCCTCCTTAAAGATTTCAACAAATCTTTCCAAAGTAACCACTGAATCATTTTCCAAGCTATTTTTTTTTTATTGAGTTGCAGTTTCTACTCTCTCAAATAATGCTTTTTGTTGTAATATTGGAACATATTGCAAACAGTACTTATATGTTCACCTTGGTTGTTTATAAAATCCATGAACAATGCTATATTATTAATATACCCAGCATAAGGTCATATTAAATGCCCCATGTTTATATGGTTGTTATTTGGAACACAATTAATGTGGTGGGGAAATGGCCAGGAGCTACTTTTATCAATATCCTCTGTAACAGACTTGGGAAACTCAAAAGATAATATTCTGCTAAAATAAAATCAACAAACGAGAGTGGAAATTGGTGCTGCAATATCCTGAACGAGGTTCCTTCTGAATTGGATTATAAAATGAAAAGGTTAGTTAAAATATTTTAAATGCTTACTAGTGTAGTGACATTATTTTTTCAGTTGAACTGAATGATTATGCTGGAAGAATTTACTTTTAAGTGACAAACATATTCTATATTTTTCCCCCCAGGATATATTTATGTTTATCACAAGACAACTGAAGGGATTAGAAGATACAAAAAGCCCACAATTCAACAGATATTTTTATTTATTAGAGGTAAATGTAAACAATTGTCTTTCATATTCATCTTAGTTTGATCAAAGTTTTAGTCAAAATCTATCTGCATAAAATACAATAACATTTTAAGTATATTTGAAACAGATCTATATTTATGATGCAAATTATTCAGTACTGACTTTACTGATTCTTTATTAAATTACAGTTACTGTATCTTTTTCTCCTAAATAGAATATTGCATGGGTTAAATCTTACAACATATGCTTTGAACTAGAAGATAGCAATGAAATTTTTACACAACTGTACAGAACATTATTTTCTGTTATCAAGTGAGTATATCTTCAACAGCAATTTTGATATGTGATGGGAATGAAAGATTGTTTTGATTGTTAGGAGTAGGCTTAAAATGTGTAAGCATGGGGGTGAAAAAAGTTGCATGGTTGAGTAATATTTTCAACCCCACAAAATATTTTCCTTGTAATCTTGACTAAGTAGCATTTTTTTAGGGTACCAGTTAAGACCTCTTCTGGCCAGTAATTTAAATGCAGCTGAAATGACTGTAGCAAGATAGAAATAATCTTGTTACTGGTGGACTTGCATGAGGTTATGTTATGTTGTGAGCTTGATGTACATTGTGTTTGGGACAGACTATTGAAGGTTTGGTCAGAATGGCACATGCGCCCTTTTCGCCATGGCAAGGGGGAAGAACAGCAATGAAAAGAGGAGAATGACAAGTAGGAAACCTCTTGAGGGCCAGATAAGAACTGTGGTTTTGCAGTCTCAAAGAAACTGTTCATTATCCAAATTCTAAATTAAAATGGGCCATAATAACTTACACTATGTTGCTGAGCTGACTCTGTTCTCATTTTAGCAATGGTCATAACCAGAAGGTTCATATGCATATGGTAGATTTGATGAGTTCTATCATTTGTGAAGGTGATACAGTATCTCAAGAGCTTTTGGATACAGTTTTAGTTAATCTAGTACCTGCACATAAGGTAAGAATTAACATTTTAATCTAAAAATATTGTAAATTGATACATGTATATTTGGCAAAATATACTGCAGCTACCTTTTTATTCATGAATTTATAACACAAAGAGTTATCATTTGAAAAAGTGAAATTAAACAATATTTTATTCTATTTCTTAGATAGTCTCTGAAGCATGAAATAAAAGAATGTTATGTTGGTCTAAGTTTAATGACGAGGATCATTAGATAAATTATATTCATACCTGCATTCTTTCTCTTTCTTTATCAAAAAGTTATTATTTTTATTATTATTAAATTTTGCCCTACTAAAATCTGAATTATATTGTCATTGCCATACCAGTGAGTGGGAGAGAACTGAGAAGGCATGACGACAGTGAATCTGGACACATTTTAATTAATTTACATTATAGGTTTTATTTTAAGCCAAGTTAATCTAGAGATGCTTACTATAATTAAAATGAGAAAAATGACAGTCTGAATTGTGAATATACCATATGCATTATGTCTGTATGAAAATAACATTGTAGAATATTGTCATTATCATTAGATATACATAAAGTCTAAAATGAACGAATTCAAATGATTAGACTGTGAGATGGAAGATAATAAATATTTGGCCCTAGGCTATAATAGAGGGTAGGAAGAGGAGGAGGGATAAAAATCTGCATGATTGACAGTGGAATCCTGTACATCGTAATCAGATGTACATCCTGCTGTCCTCTGGAGTATCCTGAAGGAATAGATGACGTGAGATATGAGGCCTGAATGCTGCTGTCTTTAAAAGTTGTACAGAACATTAATTGTAATGTACATATGTATTTTTATGTACTCAATGTATAGTGGTTGGAATGCTTGTAGTTGTAATATATTTAATCAATGTTACCCATCCTGTTCTTTAAAATTTTGAAAAACGTCAATTTTGTTGATTTGCTTACTTGTATTGAGTCTAATTTTTTTAGAATAAATCTATAATTTTGTGTCCAATATAATTTTTTAGAATTTAAACAAACAAGCATATGACTTGGCAAAGGCTTTACTGAAGAGAACAGCCCAGGCTATTGAACCATACATTACTAATGTAAGTGATAATTTAAAATGACCATGTAGAAAAAACTGAATATATTTATCAACTAGTGTTAATATACCTTTATATTGCACATTGAATACTTTAGGATTTTTCTACAATCAAATCATAGCTGACTGTATTCTTATTTAAAAAGTGCATAATTCATAAATTAAAGTTAACAGCAGCTAATTACACCAGTTGTCAGATGCATTAAGTATCATCCTATAACAGAAGCATGAAACTAGATGTTCATTTATTGATAGTCAATATCCAATTAGTAGTTAGGGCCAGTTGCTATAGTGGTTACGGTTTGGGCCTGGAAATCAGGAGACTGAGTTCTAGGCCACCCATTGGAGTGAAAGCCAGCTGGGTGACTTTGAACCAGTCATGCTTTCTCAGCCCAGTGATAGAAATGCAGACAAGACATACAATAACATGTAAAATAATAGCAATAATTAAGTTAATGATAGAATACCACTGAGTTCATTGTTATCTGTTTGAATCTGCAACCAGTGCGTACAGTTATGGTACTGTACATGATTATTTGAGAATAAACTCTGAACTAAAGGAACATTTCAATTATAAAAAATATTCATCCTTTGTATTTTTTCCACAAAATCTCCCCCTCCCCCCCAATAAATGCACTTCTCCTGGAAGATGTGATCTTATGAACTGGATGATAAAAGATGTATCTAGCAGTCATCTCTATAGTTGCAGCTGAACTTTTCTAAGTAGTTCCAGTCACAAAAAAGTGCCAATTGCTTTTCATATTTTATTTTAATCCATGTGAAATGTATATATGGGAATGATTTTTTGAAAGACTTAGGCATTTTTGGAGATAGAATTTTCTTGTACTCTTTCTTCATGCAGTTTGATTTGGAATTGATCTAGGAAAACAAAAGCATTTCAAAATAATTCATAGAATAGATCTGTGTTATGATAGGTGGAATACTGTCTAATACCTAGTTTTTACCTTAAGAGACATTACAGTTTACAAATGCTTGCATGTCTTCTGAACTAAGTATTTATTTTAATAATATCAGTAATCATTTTAAGGATTGATTTTCAAAATGTTTTATACATACATACATACATACATACATACATACATATGTTTTCACAGGAATTTATATGTATGGTATTCAGCTTTGTTCGGGTATTTTCCCACGTCATCGTAGTTGTGCTTTTAAAGTTGTAGCAACGTTTCGGCAGAATCTCATCTGCCATCATCAGGCTTCTATATTGTGTTCGTCTGTGAGTCAGACTTTCACAGCCATTTCTGTTTTAAATTTGGGGCTAGCCTACTGCTGTGCATGAAGAAAAAAACATTCTGGCACAGCAGTAGGCTAGCCCCAAATTTAAAACAGAAACGGCTGTGAAAGTCTGACTCACAGATGAACACAATATAGAAGCCTGATGATGGCAGATGAGATTCTGCCGAAACGTTGCTACAACTTTAAAAGCACAACTACAATGACGTGGGAAAATACCCGAACAAAGCTGAATGCCATACATATACATATACATATACATATACATATACATATACATATACA